TTTTGAAGATTATTTATTTCTTGCTTTTCTTTTATTGTTTTAGTGATGTTATTCATAATTGCTTGATTTTTTTGTGTGTTTTCAGTTTTTCCATTGCAGTCACCTTTATGGAGCTGTTGCTGTTGCGCAGACCTTACTGATGAGGCCTTAGGTAATATTTTTTCACAGCTGCTGAAAATTGTGACTGTTATATTTTGTTTCAAACAATTTAGTACTGACTATTATTGTTTTCCTTTGTTCTCTAGGTTTATCTGTTCACCCATAATGCACCGCAGTTTAGTTAAGGGAAACATTTCTGCATAGTCTTGAATATGACGGAACCACAGTTGAAGTAAGTAGTTTAATTATACAGTGATACTCTCCATCGAATGTTATTTATATTGTTGTACAATTATGTAATTTCTTGCAGATGCTCACATTGTGAAATGCCTCCTTTCCTGTCCCTTCAAAGTTTTGTGGCACATCTAAAAACTCACCTAAAGGAGGATAAAAGAGGGGAAAGTGTGACATGTCCATTTTCTTGCAACAACCGTGATGGTTCTTTGAAATACATTTCCACACCCTCGGCTCTTAGTCAACATCTCAGCAAAATTCATCCAACATGGCTGAAAAGAAAATATATTCTTTCCTTGCCACAGATGGCAGGAACTGCATCGGTATCAAGTACTCAAGAAATTGCACCACCAGTTTTATCTCAAGTTCCTGAGACACCAGCATTTTGTCCTTCGTTCTCAAATGTTCAAGATTTTTCACAACCCAGTTCATCTCACATTGATCAGCATTCACCGTTGTTTGATAATTTACCAGAAATAGCTAAATTTTATCTTGCTCTCGAAGCTAAACATTTGGTTCCTACAGTGTCGGTTCAAAGAGTTTGTAGTGGAGTAGCGAACCTATCTAGTTTATCGCATGAGGCAATTGCTCAAACTCTTCGTTCTAAGTTATCTGGTGTTCTGCCTGGTGAAGAAATTGATGCTAACATTTACCAAGTACAAGTAAATGACCCCGTGTATAATACCCATCATAATAATATTCCTGGACCTGATCTGGCCACTGACTACAAACGTAAATTATTTTACAAAATAAATTATCAGCTTCAAGAAGCTAAGGAGTACAGAATTGGAATAGACTCAACAAGAGATGACTTGAAAATAGCTTATGTCCATATGAGAAGAACTATTGAACTAATGCTAGAAGACCCATCAATTCAAGAACAGGTTGATGCCTCCTTAATTCAAAAAGTTACTTATTCAACAAGATTTCCTGGTTCTGTAATTAAGAGCTACAAGGATGGCTCTGCTTATAAGAAGAAAGCAGCAGCAACAGGTCGCACAAAGACAATAGATATAATATTTTATTGTTATAGATGATCTCATAGATTTGTACAATAATGGTGAAATGTATAAAGGAGAGAATATTCCTGTAGAGCTTAGAATTGTTACTGGGGACAATGCTGGACAGCACATGATCGGGGAATTCATTGAGAGCTTTGGTCCCAGAATAAAATTTGCCTGTCGGTATTGTGAGATAACTAACACGGAGTATCACAATACTCCTTGGCTTGTAAAAGATTTCATAACACCAGATAAGTACAAGAGTTGTGTGAAAGAAGTTGAAGAAATGGTGAAGAATTTGAAGAATGAGGGGAAGTTTAAAACTGACAAAGTGTACAGTGTCAAGGGCATCAAACGTGACAGTGACCTCAGCAAGGCTCCAGGTTTTGTGATGTGTGACCCGCCTCTTGCTCCATGTATTGGTCATGATGGATTTGGTGGTGCCTGGGAGTACGACATGGCAAAGTACATAAAATATTTTGTTGAGGAAAAGAATTAGTTCTCATATAAATTACTTAACAACAGAATATCCATATTCAAATACAAAGGCTCTGATTCATCAAATGTCCCTGCTCAAGTCAGTGAGTCAGGAACAAAATTAGGAGGGAATGAGGTGCAAAACTGGACACTCATTAGACTCTTTCCCCTAATTGTAGAAGATAAAATTGAAGATTTAAATGATGACGTGTGGCAGATATATCTTAAACTTCGTATCATAATTGAAATGGTGTGTGCACCCCAACTGACTCTTCAGCAGATAGCCGACTTGAAAGCTCTCATTGTTCAGTATTTAAAGGATAGATGTAGTGATGACTTCCCTATTAAAATGAAGGTGACCATAAAAACCCACATCACTGCACATTTTGCTGATCTATATGAAATTCTTGGCCCACTTTTTCCTGTGGCAACATTCCGGTTTGAAAGTAAACATGCAGTTCTTTCAAGGATCATTGACTTAGCCAAAACACATGTCAACGTTCTTGCTACCATGGCCAAGAAGGATCAACTGCACATGAGCCATCTGGCTAATGAAGAAATCCATTCAAGGAAAACAAAACTTTTTGCTTCAGCTCCCATGGTAGTGACAAATTACAAACCTGACATCCAGAAAGTTTTGAACAAGAGAACTTTTACATCTAAAGCAGTAGATGTGAAGACTGCCCATTTCGACGGGTCCTACGAGAAGAATACGATCTCGCCGCGCCGAACCAGACAAGTACGATCTCGCCGCGACAAACCAGAAAAGTACGATCTCGCCGCGACGCTCCAGAAGCGTACGAACTCATTTCGCCGCGGCGCGTGCACTCGGAGCTTTAGACGCCTCTTACTCGTCGCAGGCATGTCGCAGCAGTTTGGGCAGCATCTCATTTTAATCCCTATTGTTTTGCCATTAAAATGGAATATCGCCCAAACTGCTCCGACATGCCTGCGACGAGTAAGAGGCGTCTAAAGCTCCGAGTGCACGCGCCGCGGCGAAATGAGTTCGTACGCTTCTGGAGCGTCGCGGCGAGATCGTACTCTTCTGGTTTGTCGCGGCGAGATCGTACTTGTCTGGTTCGGCGCGGCGAGATCGCATTCTTCTCGTAGGACCCGTCGATTTACACGGCCAAGTATTCAAGAAGGATGATTGGCTGCTTTTCTCCAAAATCAATAGTACCATTCAAATTGCAAAAATTTCCTGCATAATTTCAGGTGGAGAAGATGAGAAAAGTGATGTTTTCTTTGTCTTGGAAATACATCCTTCTTCTTTCATGGATAACTATGGGCTGTATTAAATTACTGAAGACAAATTTTACTATCAGATTGTCATGTATTCAGAAAATTTGGATATTACAGGACAGGCAGTGTATGACTTTCATGAAAGACTCTGTTTTTCTTTGAAACATTGTTTGATCGAAGAAAATACTGTGCAAAGTGTTGGCTAAGCATATGAACTTATTACAATTTGATTATACTGTGTTTGCAGCAATACATGTTATTTCCTTTGTGTATTTAGTTTGATATATGTAGTCTTGCCTGTCACGCTACATTTGTTGTCTCTCTTTTTAAGTAAAGATACCTCTTACTTGCTACTTCTTTACTTGGATGTAATGTTTTACTTTGAGTTTGTAATGAAAACTATCTATTGATTCTGAGCACTTTTATTTAAGTCTGAAAAATAAATATGTAATAATAATTAACACACTTCCAAAGAAATTTTTAAAATAATTTAAACACCAATTCACTTCGATATCATTCTTTAACATCTCTTTACGGAGGAAATAGTTAACATTAACAAATGAAAAGATACTTTGGCACATCACAGCTATATCAGAGGTATGGTCCAGTATAAAATAATCCAAAATACATTATTGACTAGTTGCTGGAAACTGCTGCAAAGTGTTTGTCATAAGGTCAAAGGTTAAGAAATAAAATGTTAAATGGTTAAAAGAAAACCACTGAAGTTTTTAAAAAACTCACATCATATGGTTAAAAAACTACAACATTGAAAAACTAAAAGAATAAAAATAATCAACAATTGTAGAAACAAAACAAGAAAAATATATTGACACACACCACAGCTTTTACCAAAGGTAGTGCAGGATTAATTTTAACAACAAAAGTGACAACTAAAAGAACAGTAAACAAATTTATATACAAGTTGCTATGCATGGGAGTGATGACTTTAAGATGAGGTTTGGCTAAAGCTTATGTTGCTTGACTTAGAGAGATTCAAGGGTGAGTCCTGATCATTAACTGAGTTAGCCTTCTGAAGGGCTGTATGATATGCCTGGCAGTCTCTGATTACGTCAAGAATTTTGACGCTAACAGGACTGCTAGAACTTCCCTCAGCGCGTTTGGTTCCCACCTCAGGATTTATGTCGAAAACTTGTCTGAAAATAGCACAAAAAATATTTAATTACATGTTTATAGGAGTTGATGTATTTAAACCATAAAATTGTTTATAGGAAACAATTTTTTAAAAAAGAGAAAAGATACAGTATGTTACCTTTGAATGTATTCCAGAGTGAGTCCAAAGTTTTGAGGAAAATCTAGATGGAACACAAAGTAGCTACTAAAAACTACACAAAAAGCTTCTCTGAAAGATCTAGTAGCAAAATAGCAGTACTTGTCCATACATGCATAATACTTTTCAGCCCTAAACAGGTCAGATCCTAAGAAATAAAACAAAAGGGAATTTGAATCAACTTTTTTGCCATTTGGTCATTGGAATGTGGTTCTAATCTAAGTTATTTGAAGTAATTCTTACCACATGATAGAATGCAAGGTGTCAGCGGAATTGGAAGGTCCCTAACATCCTTCATTTGAAGCGAAACCTAGAAAAAAATATCATTGGTATAACAGTTGATTTGTGAATAAAAAATGAATCCTTACTAAACATGTCTAGTATTAGAAAATTACTAACCTCAGCTTTTATGATAAATTTTCCAACTTTCTCCTTGAAATGTATTGAAAACAACATCAGCAGAGATAAGACTTCTGGTTCATCAATTGCAGATTTCTCTTTAGATTTTGTCATTTGTTGTTCCAAAACTTTGCCTTCCATTCCTTGAGAGAAAACAAGATAATCAAGCACTTGTTTCCCAGTAAAATTCATGTAGAGGGAAAGATCATCTTCCACATTGATGTTGTAAAGACGATTCATGTGTAGAGTCATTTCAGTGCGGAAAAGAAAGGGCCATTCATTAACCAGATCACTTATTTCGGGATAACTTTCTTCTTCTGTTATCTTCTTCCTACTTTTTCTTGTCTGGAAATCTTTTATTATTTTGTGCATTTCTAAAATGTCTTTTCTTTGGCTTGCATATGTGTCTTCACATAATTGTTTTATTGTGGAAATGTCCTGTTTGGACCTAGGTATTTTCGACCATTTTAGCAGCTTTGCTTTTTTCTTTAATTGAGACTCTTTTGACTCATCCTTTGGTAAAGTTGTATTGTGCCATTGATCCTTAGTTAGTCCCAGAACACATTTGATACGCATCTCAATAATTATATTTTCTTTTCCAACTTTAGAAACCCTTTTCCTCTTTTGGTCCCTCACATTATCAAATTGATCCACGGTATGTCTTAAGAATCGACTGTAACCCAGATCTGTGTCGCCAATATGGTCATTAAATGACTTTGGAAACTTACGAACTAAACACTCTCAGCCCGTTACTGACACTTTGCAAATACACAATGAACTTGCTTGTACAGCAGTAATACTCACAAAATTGCACGTAATACTCACACATTTAGTTAGTAATACTAATTATTTTGTTAGCAAGTACTTAGCATCATCTTCCTAAGTAATTCCTCACAAAATAATTAGTATTACTAACTAAATTTGTGAGTATTACGTGCAATTTTGTGAGTATTACTGCTGTACAAGCAAGTTCATTGTGTATTTGCAAAGTGTCAGTAACAGGCTGAGAGTGAATGTTCCACATATGGTATACTTTTCCGCTTTGACTTTGGTTGATCTCTCTTCACTTTGGCAACAAGAAAATTTATTAGAAGCAGTTCCGCAGAATTTGATGGGCGCAGTTTTTCTACTAAGAGAGCAGTCTTCAAGCCCCCAGGATCTTTACGATCAATTCTGTCCAGCTCCCAAATCACGTTCCATGGTATGTCGACATTGTCTTCAGGTCTGGAAGCTGTACCTGCTACATCAGAAAATAGACAGAATAGTTACATTCATGTATAAGTAAATGGGTATTTGTATTGAAGTATGAGCCAATGCAATTACCTGCCTGATCCATCTTCCATTCGTCCATGAGGTTCCCTGCTTGAAACTCATTAAAGATTGGCATCAGATGCTCTTTGGTAACGTTCCTTAAATCCTCAGGGCGCAGTAGACCTCTTCCTGTGAGCAAGGTGGCGAGCTGCGCCGACTTAACCTCTGCGTCCTCTCGGTCTATTTCCGAGAGGACAGAGCGCACAGTTTCCAATATTACCGACTCCATGCCTGGGAAAAGAGTAATTCCACCTCATTTAGCCACGCTACCGATGGCAACTAAAGCGACAAAGGACTCATTTCCATTTCAGAAACAAACCCAGCTAAAAAGCCTGCTCTTCTCCTCGACGTCGATTAGACGTCTATTAGACGATTACGTTTATTTCCGGACCGATATGGGCGTCTGAATGGTTCGGAAACAGATGTAATCGTCTTATTGAAACCATCCCTGCGGTCTGGAAGAGGTGGACAAGTTCCAGAAAACTGAGGAAAATTACCGCCTCTTTGTCTTTTTAGACAGGTGCGGTAAAGAGATGGCTTACTCAGGACCTCAATCTACTTTGGAGCATCCTCGTAAGAACATCTGCCTCTTTCTGAACGAAGGGCATTATCACGCCGTCCTAAAACCGGCGGCAGCCTTCGGCTGGGTGTACTTTTGTGACTCTTGTCTCCAACGGTATTCTGAAAAAGGCACTCACCACTGCCCCGGGTCTTGCCGCAGGTGTGGAGGTCCTCAGGACCACCCCCTTGACAGCAGTGGCAAGTACATTGATTGTGAGCTCTGCGGTCGTTTCTTTGGATCCCAAGACTGTTTTGACCTTCACAAAACAGCGAAGATCCACGCCCACGGCGCTCCTACATGCCATGTTAAAAAGTATTGTAAAATCTGTAATAGTGTTTATAATTTGAATGGTAGTGGTAAGAGAAAGCGCAACAAACACGTGTGCAACTCTTATTACTGTAAATACTGTAAAGATATTGTAGTGGCAATGCCTAACATGCCACACAGGTGCTACATTCTACCCTGGGAAGAGCAACCTCTCTGCCCCAAAACTGATTCCCTAAAAGTTATGCTGATACGGAAACTACTCAATTTGAAGTTTATCAAGGCAAAAACAATTGGTTCGAACACCGTGTCAACTATGTTGTGTGCCAGGTCGTGCGTGAGCTGTGTGAAGGGGACAGCGCTGACTACATCGACTGCCCCAATCACGGAGCACGGACTAAAATGGACGGAACGTTCATAAACGTCCGACTCCGGCGAAACGTAAGAATTATATTAGTAGTGTACAAGGAGCGAGCACATGACAGAGTGCCCCAGCAGACAGTACTTAGTCGAACACTTACGTATATGGGAGCTCGGGGACTGTTTAGATGGCAGGTAGCTGTTCCTAAAAGGATAACATTGTCCAATTTCGCCGCGGAAATTGAGGTCACATTTCGAGAAACGCCGCACGAAATAACTATCTACTGCCCTTCTAACATTAGCTTAAGCAAAGACAACAGCTGTGACGATGGGCCATTGCCAGAACCACCACGACATATTTTCGAAACGGCCCAAACGGATGACGAAAGGACAGATACGGATGACGAAAACATCAGTGACAGCCAACCCCTGCTGTGTAGCCTACTCAACAAATAGGTCCCCCTGATTTGTGTTTGGTTTTTTGGTTAGTTTTGTTTGTTTTGTGTGTGGTGTGCCTAGTGTTTGGTTAAACCAACATTTCTCCCCTGGTTGTTACAGAGCCACGAAGCACGTGTATGGCCCTAATTTTTATTTCAAACCCATGTTCTTTCTACTTTTCTGTTACATTTCTCTGCATATTTATTCGCTCTCTCGAGTTTTCCGTATTTTCGTTAAAAAAAAAAAAAAAACACGCACGCGTCGGGGCGCGTGCCCGGCCAGAGCGTCAGTTTGTAGCCAGCCACCGCATAGGGTGGACCTCTCTGGAGTTTCGAGGACTACGAAGTACTGGGAGTCAGCCCTCCTTCGTCACCTAGCCGCGACGCCTAGCCAGCGCCGCCGACGCCTGGCAGCAGCAGGTCAAGCAGCAGCAGCTTCAGCAGCAGCTCAAGCAGCAACAGCTCCAGCAGCAGCACTCCTGCAAACAGCCCTATACGTGGCCCTGCTCGTATCCCTGCGTGCAGCGTGGAGTCACCGTTAGCGCTACATATGGTGTGCCCCACACCCCGGCCCCCGTAGAGGCGCCACGTCAGGACGCGAAAAAAGTAGAGGCAGGGAAGAAATAAGAGAAAAAAGACATCCACGCGGAGAAGCTTACTCCAGACGTCATCTTGAGCCAGGTCATGCGCACCTTAAACTCAAACCAAGATTTTCTTGTGGACGGGCGGCTGCGGTTCAAGATGCTCCACATCCCTGTGACCCGCCCCGGTGGCAGGCACGATAGGAGGCCGTGCGAGACGGTAGAGTCTTGTCTGCACCGTTACGGCCCCAAGTCGGGCGCTACCCTTTTCAAACACAAACGTTCACATGAGGAAGCGATCAAACAAGATGTGAGACCCTTAGTCATCTTTTTGCCGCGAGTGGACCCCTTTCAAAGCGAACCAGGAAGGACCGTGGGCCAAATGTATCAACTAGCCTGGGAAGAAACACCTATCAAAAACGACACGATCGCAATAGTAACCAGAGTTAAGGCATGTGCAAACGCCATCTTATAGGAATAGATCCCGCTCACCCTGCTTTGGTTTAAGTTATTATGTTTCTGTGATTAATTTAGGTCCCGTCCTTGTTGCAGAATTATGCCTTCAACATGCCGGTTCCCCATGCCGAGCTTGTTGTTCCTTATCCTGTTTTTTTTTATGGCTCACGTGTGGGGCATACTGATTTGACACGGTGGAATACGATTGCTCCCAGCCGTAACAGTTGGGGGCCTACGCATTGGACGACGTGCGCTCTTGTCGAACACCGGTCCATATTTATCCAGCCGAGAGAAGACGCATTCAATTACTGCAGTTAAAACAATTTCACAATGTGGAAGTAAGGGCCTGTCTCTTAGGACCACTTGACGAACAAACAAGGTATGTCAACGACCCATTAACGCCAGAGATGTGCAAGGAGGCCTTGCGCCATGGAAACATATCATTTTGGAATCAGACATTTAATACTAGAAACAACACGCCATAGAACTTACTACCACTTAAAGAAGCCACATGGACCGGCGAGAGTAAAATCAATCTCCCTGTACTTACGGACATGAACGGCAAATTTGAACATAGACGAATCGAGACTGGAAATGCCCAATGGGGAGACGTGCCCGTACTACTTAGCCAACTGTGAGACTAAGGACGATGGCGTTTTAGAATGGACGTTTCGGCAGTTTCGGCAGTGCTCCGAGCTGGTGGAAGTTCTATATGATAGATCAGGGTCCATCATTAATTACAACAATACCAGGCAGCTACTAATTGAGACAAAAGTAAGACGGGCTCTAGTACCTTCAATCTAATATCCTCCATTGTCCGCCAGTGCGGGTGACAACATTTGAACGGATCTGGGTGGCCTCCACGTCATGGAAGGAGTCCTCCCCATTTGTAATCAAACGACTGCATCTGCTAAATTTCGAAGACCCATATTTTCAAAGCGCAACTTTATCTAGCTACCTTGACTATAATATTACCACTGAATTGGCGCAGGTTAAGCGACTACGAACATTGCCTGCGAACTAGGGGAACAATGGACAGTTGGCAACTTCCTCCAACCCCAAGGTGCCTGGAACAGCCTATGCACTGTAAATTGCTTACGAACTATAGGTTCGTAATGCAAACCAAAACGTTCGTAGCTTGCGAAGGATTTTCAAGCGTTGTATTACGAACTAATTGTTCGTAAGCTTACGAACAAATAGTTCGTAATGCAAACCGATTGTTCGTAAGACCCGTCTAGCCTTACAAACAATCACTTTGCAATACGAACAATTTCTTTGCAATACAAAGAACGGAAATTGTTCGTAACGTTGCAAAGAATTTAGTTCGTAAGCTTTTTACAGTGCTTAATTAACCTTACGTTCCTGTGGTTCCAGTGGAAACAAACACAAAACTTACTGCGATATGATGACACACGACAGAGCGGCGAACAAATATAGAAATAAAAGCGGGGGGAAAAAAGCAGACAACAAACAGGACGCGAGGACGAATGAAGGTAGAGAGAGCACGCCCGGGAGTCTGTGTGTCGGTGTGCAGCAGAGGTGCAGGTGTGAGTGTGTTTTATATATATACATTGTGTGTGTGTGT